CGGCAGCGCGAGGCCGAGGCCGCCGCCGGTGGCCGCCGGCCGCCGGCCGCCGCCGGCCGCCGCTCCGCGCCGCGCCGAGCCGCGCCCTCGCCGCGGGCGGCGCCCAAGACGTGCCCGGCATGCACCGAGGGCCGAATGACCCTGCAGTCGGGGCCCTGAAGAAGGAGCCCTTCTCGTGGGGGAGGGGCTCGGCGTTCCTGGATTGGGCTGCAGTTTGCGTTCTGTTTTCCTGAGGTTTTCCATGGGAGATCGACGTTCAACGTGTGGGAGAAAGGGGCCCCGTTCCTTATTTAGGGTTCCTTGGGTCAACGCCCCGACTGTACAGGCATGTCCCCCTACAGGCGGATTTTGAGCGAGAACAAAAAATACCCCCAAGATCCCCCCCAAATAGACGAAGATGCTCAACACGTCGTCCTCGTGTTCTTTTTTGATTGTTTTTTTGAACATCCCCCCTGTAGAGGGACAGGCCCGGCTCAACCCGAACCCTACTGACATAGTGAAGACGTGGCCTCACTGAGGGCCCCGTTGTCGCATTGGGGATTATACACATGGGCGGCTTGGCCTCACACGTCTGCAGCAAAGGCCCCCTGTCCCTGATGCTGTTGGCCCTCCTAACTTAGGTCCCCTCCCAAAGGGTTAGGGGTACTCGGGATCCTCGCAGTTCTTCGGCCTCCGGGGGCCCTCGCCGGGCCTCGGGAGTGTCAAATACTATGACTCAGGGCGAGAAACACCAACCCTATATTGGAAGTGGTCCAGACCTCTGCATGGGGCCCACACATCAAAAACATTGAGCGGCCAGAAGTCTCTAGGCCTCCCAGATGGGGTCGGAGTAGATGGGGTCGGAGGATCGCGGCGCATCACCGATGTATCGCCGAGGCGGCTTGACGTAGAGCCCGATTTGCTTCACGTCGACGTCGCCGATGCACCGCCGACATCGACGATGCGTCGCTTGTGCATCGCCGATGCATCGACGATCTGGCGCGATCCTCCGACCCCATCTGACCCCATCGAGGAGGCCTCTGGCCATGAGGGGGACTCAGAGACCTGACGCTCCAACAGAACTCGGAGCGGCGGGATGCTGGCCGTGTTCGGCCTCCGAGGGCCCTCGCCTCAGGACAGAAAAAGGCCGGCCCTGGAGGAAGAGAGGTCCAGGCCTCCGGGCCCACGCATCGAAACGATTGGAGCGGCCAGATGTCTGTGTCAGGAAGACACTTACCGGGCTGGGAGGACGGGATTGGGAGAAACGGGGACGTCGCTACCCGTAGGCGGTCGAAGGTATCGCGCATTGCATCCGAATGCTATTGCTCATGCCCTTGATCCTCCCAACCCCTCTCTCCCAACACGATAACGGTTCTCCCCACTGGGCACGGGTCCTGAGGGAAACGGGTGCTGAGGTTTTTTCCGCCCGCTTCGGTCTCTCGGGACACTCCACGGGCCCCGTGAATTTGTCAGGAAACGGCTCAGGGTCCGGGGCCCGTTTCCCGACCCGCTGCCCCCATGCCGAGCACGCTCGCGCCGCTGCAAGATCACGGCGGGAGGCTCCCCGAGATCCTGGCGCCGCAAGCTTTTCGCAGCAGGCGTCCTCGCATCATTTCGAGCCCTGGGACCCTCGCAGGTCGACGCGGCGGGAAAAACCACGCAGGAAGACTGAGGTCTGTGGCTCCAGTGGTGATTTTGTGCGATGTTGCACTTTTTTTCAACGTCAGATCTGCAGGTTTCTGGCCGTTTGCGGCCTCTAGAGAGCCCTTCGCCGGGCCCCGGGACAGTCAAAGCACGACTCGCGATGGAAAAATCAGGACTTCGCCCGGTCACGTCACGATTCGCGCCGGCGCCGTCTGGGAATGCCTCACCCAATCCCAGACGGTGCCGACGCGAATCGCGGCGTGACCCAGGGGGGAGGGGGGGCGGCGGGGCTGGTCACAGGCGCCATCGCAAGTTAATAAGCAATGAGCTCCAAAAGGTGATCGTTTTCTCATTCATTGTTTTGCCGATCGGCGCGGGTCCTCGCACCCTCCCTACCCCCTCCATTGGAGTGGATCTTGGATCTTGGCTGTTCTTGGCGCTTGTTTCGAGCGGGTGGAGTCTCCCCCACAGGATGCACTGTTGCAAACAGCGGCATCAAGCAGAGGTCCGGAGCCAGATCCCCCCCCTCCCGCCCCCCTTTACCCAATGTCGAAACGCGGAATAAGAAAACGTTCACAAGGCCTCGAGCCTCTAGGCTTGTTCCTCGGTCCGCGAGGGGGCCGGGGACGTCTCCCTCGTCTGGAGTGGCAGCGCGCCGCCCAGCACCGCCGCAGCCGCCAGCCCGCTGCGGCTGCCGCTGCGGCAGCCGCCGCGGCAGCGGCGCCGCCCGCGCAGCCAGCAAGACCGCCGTGCGACAGTTTCGGACGATTTCGGGCCCCGGGACCTTGCAGATCGATGCGGTTCTCGAAGAAGAGAAACCGCCGGGATTAGAGACTTTGGCGCTCCGCGCGGGTTTCTTGGATTCGCGCTGGGCCCCCCTGGCGGCGCCGCCGGCGCCGCCCCTGGCGCGCTCCGCGCGCCAGGAAGGGGGGTCCGGTGCGGATCCAAGAAACCAGCGCGGAGCGCCAAAAGTTTATGTTTACGCAGTTTTTTGTTGCTAGTGCGACAGTTTCGGATGATTTCGGGCCGCGGGACCTCACAGATCGATGCGGCCCGAGGAGTGGCGCAGGAATCGAGGCCTCCCAGGTGGGGTCGGAGCAGACGGGGTCGGAGGATCCTGCCGCATCGCCGATGCCTCGGCGATGCGGTGCAATCCTCCGGCTCCATGTGCTCGGACCCCATCTAAGAGGCCTCCAGGGAAGACGGTGTCTATAGGGCTCGGGTCGTGCTTCTTTTGTGGTGGTGTTGCCTCTGTTGTTTTGCAGCCTCGGATCCCAGGGCGAGACGGTCTGGATGTGTTCGGCCGCGGCCCCCTCTCGTGACTTTTTCGTTGCTGTCCACGGCAGCTTGGGCCCAAGAGGCAGTCGGGACGGCCGAGGGACGCATCGGCGTCGAAGTGTGCACCAGGGGAGAAGAAGAAGGGGCGCGGCGCGGGGGGAGGCAGCCGCGGGCAGCGGAGCAGCACGCCCAGAGGCCGTGCAGATGCTGCACGTGTGTGTGTGTGTGTGTGTGTGTGTGTGTGTGTGTGTGCGTGCGTGCGTGCGTGCGTGCGTGCGTGCGTGCGTGCGTGCGTGCGTGTGTGTGTGTGTGTGGTGTGTGTGTGTGTGTGTGCGTGGTGTGTGTGTGTGTGTGTGTGTGTGTGTGTGTGTGTTTGTGTGTTTGTGTGTTTGTTTGTTTGTTTGTTTGTTTGTTTGTGTGTGTGTGTGTGTGTGTGTGTGTGTGTGTGTGTGTGAGTGTCTGTGTGTGTGTGTGTGTGTGTGTGTGTGTGTGTGTGTGTGTGTGTGTGTGTGTGTGTGTGTGTGTGTGCCAGGGCGCAGGCTTGCACGGGCAGCGGGCCAGGAGCGGCAGGGCCAGGCGTGCGGCCGCGGGGCTTCGCCGCGGGAAGGCGGCAGCGCTTCGGCGTGCTCGGCGACGGACGCCGTCTCTTACAGCCGTTGGCAGCGGCGAGGCGCGCGGCCGGGCCGAGGTGTGGCGAGTCCATGAGGCCCTGAGGTCTGACGTCGCGAGACAGCTGCAAGACATCGTGCGACGTCACGCCCAGAGCCCTATAGATATCCACCTCTCTGCGTCACTTGTCGAGCCAGATCGATCTGGGAGGGTCCTGGGGCCCGAAAAAAGGGGCGAGAACGCCGGGCTCGAAAGAAGTGAGGCGCCAGGGTCTCAGGGACCGCTGTCGGACGGGGCTAGGACGAGGAGAAATCTGTTCCAGGGCGTCCCAGAACGCTCTCAGAGCGTTCCAGAACGCACTGAGAAGGCCGCCGCGCTCGAGACTTCCTCCAGAGCTGACCGGATCTCAGAGATTCTCGCTGCATCCTTATCCGATGTTGTCCACGTCCTGGCTTCGTCTCGTGCTGGGTGGCGCAACTCCGAGGCCACCGCGCACGCAAGTCGTGTGCCCCCTCGTGGCACGCCTGCGGTCCAACCCCTGCACGCTGGCCAGCCCAGCGGCCCCCGGCCCAGCCTCGGGCGGCGCTGTGCACGTGCTGCTGCCGCCGCCCCTGGGGCGCCGCGCCCACAGGGGGCGTGGCGAGGGGGGGCGGCGGCCCGCTCCTGAGGCCCGACGTTGGCACAAATTTTGGGCACCAGGCAATGGCGAAAGGTCCCCGCTGGTTTCTCGGATCGGCGCTGGGCCCCCCTCCTTGACAGTCGGGCCGAGGCAGGCACGATCGAGGCCGGTGCGGGGAGGGCACCGTCATGCTCTGCGAGGCTGTTGGATGCTCTTGTGCATCCTGGGGGAGGGTGCCCTCGAGTGTTCTTCAGGTTGGCCGGCGGATGGTCTCATGTTTTCGGATGCAACTGCTGGGAGGTCAAGTTCTCACCTGGCCCTGGTCCGAAATCCGGCCTAATCTGGCGTGATCCCGCTTAATTTGGCTTCATCCCGTTGAACCTCGCTTCAGCCCGCTGTATCCCCGGCCCAATCCGGCGTAGTAGTCCACCAAGTGGGGCTTGCTTCTCCCCAATCTTTCCTGCGAAGCCCTCCCAGCGATTGGAGTGCCTCCTATGAGGAGGGTCGCATGTTCTGGATGGGGTGCTCTTCGGTCCTGTAGGGCTGGCCGTGTTTCGATGCCTCGACCTCGGGGGCGGGGCCGGATGTCTGGGGCTGCCGCCGCACCTCCGGCCTGCCCCCGGGGCTCCTCGATGGCCGCGCATCCCTCCCTCTATAGCCTCCACTGCGAGGGCGGCAAGTGCGGCGGGCTGAACGACCGGCAGGACCCGCGGCATGCTGGGCTAGGGTTGGGGAAGGCGGGGAGAGGGGGGGGAGGGATCGAAGGAGGAAGGGAGGGACCCTTGAGTTTTGATCATCGAGGATAAGAGAACCCCTAACCCTGATAACACGATGTAAACGTAGCCTTCCTGAGGTTCCCGTCTCTGCATCAGGGATACTACGTCTGTGCCTTTTGGTTCGATACACCTGCACACAAGACCCTCTATACCTAATGTTTGTGTGTGTGTGCCCTCCTAACTCAGGTTCCCTCCCAAAGTGCTCGGGTTTTTTACTGCTGCTCACTTGAGCAACGAGGTGTTCGGGCGTTCTCGCCGGGCCTCGGCGCCTCGCAGGCCTCGCGGGATGCTTGCCGGCAGCCGCGCCTCGCCGAGGGCGCTCTGCTGGGGGGTGCCCGGACCCGTCCCCAGCACGGCCGGCGGAGAGAGCCGAGGCTCGTGGCCGCGGACAGCCTCCCGGAGGGGCGGTGAGGGCCGACCCCGAGAGAGAGAGCCCGGCGTCGGATCTCTTTCGCGAGCGGGCCGCCCTCGGGGCCCGGACGACAGCCTCCCGGAGGGGCGGTGGGTGGGTGGGCCGACCCCACCCGCGGGGGAGAGCCCGGCGTCGGGGCTTTGTCGCGAGCGGGCCGCCCCTGCATGGGGCCCCGGGGGCCTGCGCGGGTCGACGCGCGTCTCGGGAAGGGAGACGGGGGGGGTCACCACCCACCAAGCCACCCCAACCCAACCCGAAGGCTCAGATTTACCCTCGATTTCTAGTGGGGGGGGGTCGGGAAGCATTGAAAAAACACGCGTGGAACCCTTACCCCCCCCAAGCCGAAATTCGGGTCTTCGGGTTGGGTTGGGGTGGTCTGGTAGGTAGTCAGGGGGGGGGGCCGGGGGCTCTCTGGTCGTGGGTCTTCACGGTGGTGCGTTTTTTTTTCGCGTCGTGGGATCCCGGGGGAGGGAGGCAGGAGGGGAGGAGGAGCGAGCGAGCGAGCGATGCCTTGGCAGATCTTCGGAGTCTCCACAGGTCTTCGGAGATCTCGGGAGGCCTCGGGGGACCTCCAGAGACCTCAGAGGAGCGAGTCTAGACCACCTAATCATGGTGGTGGCACGTTTTTATGTTACTCTCCTCTGTCGCCAGGAGCTGTTTCTGGGCCCTGGGGCCGCAGGAAAAAATTATCCTGGCGAAGGACCCAACCATATGCAATTGTGAATACTGCAATTGTGAATATCTTCTCGGTGGAGCCCCCTACGGGGCCACGAAACGTACGAGGGGTGTGCCGAAATGGGTGTGCGGGACGCATGCGGGCACACCCATTGGGGCCTTCGGTGGAGCTCCCTATGGGGCCACGAAACGTGTGAGGGGTGTGCCGAAATGGGTGTGCGGGACGCATACGGGCACACCCACTGGGACCTTCGGCGGAGCTCCCTATGGGGCCACGGAACGCGTGAGGGGCGTGCCGAAATGGGTGTGGCTGACGCATGCGGGCGCGGGCACTGGGGCCTTCGGCGGAGCTCCCTATGGGGCCACGAAACGTGTGAGGGGTGTGCCGAAATGGGTGTGGCTGACGCATGCGGGCGCGGGCACTGGGGCCTTCGGTGGAGCTCCCTATGGAGCCACGAAACGTGTGAGGGGTGTGCCGAAATGGGTGTGGGTGACGCATGCGGGCGCGGGCACTGGGGCCTTCGGTGGAGCTCCCTATGGAGCCACGAAACGTGTGAGGGGTGTGCCGAAATGGGTGTGGGTGACGCATGCGGGCGCGGGCACTGGGGCCTTCGGTGGAGCTCCCTATGGAGCCACGAAACGTGTGAGGGGTGTGCCGAAATGGGTGTGGGTGACGCATGCGGGCGCGGGCACTGGGGCCTTCGGTGGAGCTCCCTATGGAGCCACGAAACGTGTGAGGGGTGTGCCGAAATGGGTGTGGGTGACGCATGCGGGCGCGGGCACTGGGGCCTTCGGTGGAGCTCCCTATGCAGCCACGAAGCGTGTGAGGGGTGTGCCGAAATGGGTGTGGCTGACGCATGCGGGCGCGGGCACTGGGGCCTTCGGCGGAGCTTCTACTATGGGGCCACGAAACGTGTGAGGGGTGTGCCGAAATGGGTGTGGGGACGCATGCAGGCGGCACTGCCTTCGGCGGAGCTCCTATGGGGCCTGTGAGGGGTGTGCCGACGTGACGCATGCTGGGGGCTTCGGCGGAAACCACGAAACGTGTGAGGGGTGTGCCGAAATGGGTGTGGGTGACGCATGCGGGCGCGGGCACTGGGGCCTTCGGTGGAGCTCCCTATGGAGCCACGAAACGTGTGAGGGGTGTGCCGAAATGGGTGTGGGTGACGCATGCGGGCGCGGGCACTGGGGCCTTCGGTGGAGCTCCCTATGGAGCCACGAAACGTGTGAGGGGTGTGCCGAAATGGGTGTGGTGACGCATGCGGGCGCGGGCACTGGGGCCTTCGGTGGAGCTCCCTATGGAGCCACGAAACGTGTGAGGGGTGTGCCGAAATGGGTGTGGGTGACGCATGCGGGCGCGGGCACTGGGGCCTTCGGTGGAGCTCCCTATGGAGCCACGAAACGTGTGAGGGGTGTGCCGAAATGGGTGTGGGTGACGCATGCGGGCGCGGGCACTGGGGCCTTCGGTGGAGCTCCCTATGGAGCCACGAAACGTGTGAGGGGTGTGCCGAAATGGGTGTGGGTGACGCATGCGGGCGCGGGCACTGGGGCCTTCGGTGGAGCTCCCATATGGAGCCACGAAGCGGTGTACTGGGTGGGTGAAGAGGAGAGGAGGAGAGGAGGGGAGGAGAGGAGGAGAGGAGAGGAGAGGAGAGGAGAGGAGAGGAGGGGAGGAGAGGAGAGTAGAGGAGAGCAGAGGGGAGGACCCAACACCACAGGATGGTTGGGAATAAACAGCAGTCTTAGAGAGGGGTCGGGGTCTGGGGCCCGCGTTGCGACACATTGAGTCGCCAGAGGTTTTGGGAAATCGAGGAGGAGGAGGAGGAGGAGGATGAGGATGATGATGAGGAGGAGGAGGAGGAGGAGGAGGAGGAGGAGGACCAGTGTAAACCCAAGAGTCATCAACAATGTTAGAGTAAACCCTCCCCCAAGCTCCATCTTCGTAGGCCCCTTACAACGGTTCATTTCCACAAGGACCTGCCTCGTTGGATGACAACCGATTGAAGACCCTGGAGCATGCCAAAACATTGTTCTCGGTATTCCAACGCCACGGATGAACCTGACTGTTGCGTCTTGACGATCCTGACCCGTGCCAGAACGCCATTCCTGGGATTTCAACACCGCGAATCATTACTACTGTTACACAATTTTTGGCACGTCGATCATGGGAATACGAACCACTTTTGTATTTTAGCTAACATGTGCGCAGCGCTAAAGCGAGAGCCACATTTTGATAAGAAGTCCGTGGAACTCTTGCAATTTTGAAATCGAATGTGCGCGGCGCTAAGGCGAGAGCCACATTTCGAAAACGACCCGCCATCATTCCGTGAAACTCTTGCAGAGTTTGAATATGAATGTGCGCGGCGCTAAGGCGAGAGACACAGTTTGAAAACGGCCCGCCATCAATCCGTGGAACTCTTGCAGATTTTGAAAACGAACGTGCGCGGCGCTAGGGCGAGAGCCACATTTTGAGAACGGCCCGCCATCAATCCGTGAAGCTCTTGCAAATTTTGAAAACGAACGCACGCGGCGCTAAGGCGAGAACCACATTTCGAAAACGACCCGCCATCATTCCGTGAAACTCTGGCAAAATTTGAATATGAATGTGCGCGGCGCTAAGGCGACAGGCATTGAAAACGGCCCGCCATCAATCCGTGGAACTCTTGCAGATTTTGAAAACGAGCGTGCGCGGCGCTAAGGCGAGAGCCACATTTTGAAAACGGCCCGCCCTTCTCCTTTTCTAAATCATAAGTTTCAGGGTCGTAAATGGTGAGGAAGTTTCACGCGAAACGCTCAGCCCGCCCTAAACACTTGCCTCGGGGTGCGACAGGGAGAATTCATTTATAAGGAGAAGGAATGGAGGAGGAGGAGGAGGAGGAGGAGGAGAAGGAGGAGGAATGATTCTAACTTTTATGGGCTTTCTGAGCCGCCATGGCTGGATCCGCCCCGAAGTCCTGGGCAGAACGCTGACGAAAACGAGTCGATATTGAGGGGGGAGGGAGGGAGATGAGAGGGGAAGAGGGGGACATGGACTTTTTGGATTCAGCCTGGCGTTACAACGACTGTGCGCCGTCAGAGCGCAAAGGGTGCGGGCAGGGGTGCCGCACTATAACCCTGCCGACGCGTAGGCCTGGGGGATACGTACGGGGGCCGGCGGGGGGAGGGTGGGTGAGGGGGAGGGTGGAGAGGGGGAGGTGGATGGGAGAGGGCGAGAGGGAGGGAGGGGCTAGAGATGGGAACGGGGAGAAAAATGACTAGTAAAGGCTGGTACTAGGACGATGACCTGGAGAGGGGTCGGCCCCAGCTTGTCATTTGAAGTCGGATATATTTCCCGCCAGCGCTTGGGGAACACACATCAAACATATAACTCTTTTCTCCTCATCTCCTCCCCCTGCCTCCCTCATGCCTTCCCAGGTCTTGGCTCCCTGGGCGAAGATCTTTTTTGATCAGTTTGCCCTGTCGGGGTCAAGCTCCTTCCCGACATCCGACTCTGCGGTTAGGGGGGTCAACGCCATTTGAAGGGATGGGAGGGCGGGGCAGGACGGCAGGCTTCTGTTCCTCCTCCTCCTGCTATTCCTTGGGACCCCGACGCTCCCTCACTCCAGCCCCGCCGTGCCTCGTTGCAATTCGGGGTCGCCAGGCGCCAGTCGTCGTCGCCAGGCGCCAGTCGTCGTCGCCAGTCGTCGTCGTCGTCGTCGTCGTCGTCGTCGGCGGCGGCGGCGGCGGCGGCGCCGCCGTCGTCGCCGTCGCCGTCGTCGTCGCCGTCGCCGCCGTCGAGGTTGTGGTCGGCGCGGTCGTTGCCGTCGTCGTCGTCGTCGCCGCCGTCGTCTTGAGCATCGGTCGCCGCCGTCGAGGTTGTAGTCGGCGCGGTCGTTGCCGTCGTCGTCGCCGCCGTCGTCGTGAGCGTCGTCATCGTCGTCGTGGCCGTGGTCGTGGTCGACGCGGCCTTCGCCGCCGCAGCGGCGGTCGCCGCTGGCCGTGGGCGCAGCTGCCGCGGCCGTTGTAACCCCGCCGCCAGGACCCCGAGGACCGGCGCGAGTTCGTAGACAACTCGGGCGCGCCGCCTCGCGCCGCCCCGCCGTCCGCCGCGCGACGACGACGACGACGACGGCGACGACGATGACGACCGAGCTGCCGACGGCGACGCCGACGGCGAAGGCGACGGCGGCGTCGACGGCGGCATCGACGACGGCGACTTCCACGGCGACGAGTACGACGATCGAGACGACCACCGCCGCGAGGACAGTGCACGGCGGGGAGGTTGGCGTGGAGGTCTCCTCCGTTCTCCCTCCCTCCGTCCTCCTCCTCCTCGATTCTCCTTCCTCCCTCCTCCCTCCTCCCTCCCCTCCCCTTTCCCCTCCCCTCCCTCGTCCCTTCTCCGTCCCTCCCCCCTTCCCCCTCCCTCGCTCCTCCCTCCTCTCTCGCTTCTCGCTCCTTCTACCTCCTCATCCCTCCTCCTCCCTCCCCCCTCCTCCCTCACTTCTCTCTCTTCCTCTCTCTTCCTCCCTCCTCCTACTCCCTCCTCCTCCTCCTTCTCCTCCTATTCTTCCTCCCCCCTCTCTCTTCCTCGCTCCTCCTCCCTCCTCCTCCCCCCGTGCTCCTGACCTCCCCCCCCCGCATGCCCGTGCACTCCCGCGCGCGCGTGCCCGCTCGCTCCGCGCGCGCGGGAGCGCGCGGGTGAGGTGGAGGCAGGGAAGGATGCTTGCCAATGGGGGAGGAGGAGGAGGAGGAGGAGGAGGAGGAGGAGGAGGAGGAAGAGGAGGAGGAGGAGGAGGAGGAGAGGAGGAGGAGGAGGAGGAGGAGGAGGAAGGAGGACGAGGAGGATGAGGAGGAGGGAGGAGGGAGGGAGGGAGGGAGGGAGGGAGGGAGGGAGGGAGGGAGGGAGGGAGGGAGGAGGGAGGAGGAGGAGGAGGAGGAGGAGGAGGAGGAGAAGGAGGAGGAGGAGGAGTAGGAGTAGGGAGGCGGAAAAGGGAGGATGAGGGAGAGGGAGAAGGAGGAGGGAGGATGGAGGGTGATGATGATGATGATGATGAATGATGATGATGATGATGATGATGATGATGATGATGATGCTGATGCTGATGCTGATGCTGGTGATGATGATGATGATGATGATGATGATGATGATGATGATGATGTGATGGTGGTGGTGGTGATGGTGATGATGAGGAGGAGGAGGAGGAGGATGATGGTGATGATGATGATGCTGATGATGATGATGATGATGGTGGTGGTCGTGGTGGTGGTGGTGATGATGATGACGAGGAGGAGGAGGAGGAGGAGGAGGAGGAGGAGGAGGAGACGGGAGGAGGAGGAGGAGGAGGAGGGAGGAGGAGGAGGAGGAGGAGGAGGATGTGGACCAGTAGTCGGAGGAAGGTTCCAGAGGAAGATACGGACAGTTTCCCAAGGGTTTGACGCCTTTTCGCAAATCGACTTGTGGGGATCAAGCCAGATGAATGAAGACGTTTGCAGGTATATCGCGGTACAGCCAGGTACATCTGAGTAAACCCAGGTAAGTCCAGAGATCTCCAGGGACAGTTGGAGCAACTCGTGGCCGCTTCAGTGCGAGTCGAGGCACGGCACTAGTCGTCAAGCCCTGAACGATTTGAGGTGGAGGGACAAGATGAGTGAGGGAGGGGGACGGTGGGGGATGAGGAGTCGGAGGAGGACCCGTGTAAACCCAAGACGCATCAACGATGTTGCAATACACCCTCTCTCCAAGTTTCCTCCTCACAGGTCCCTGCAAGAACTGATTCTCATTGCGGGATGTGCCCCGCTGAAAAACAACCGACTTAGAATCTTCAATCGTGCCAAAACACTGTCCCTGGGACTTCAGCGCCGCGAATCAACGTGACTGCTGCGTCCTGACAATCTTGAACCGTGCCAGAGCACCGTTTCTGGGACTTCAACACGACGAATGAGCGAATGAGCGTGACTGTTGCCTCCTGGCAGTCGTAAGCCGTGTCAGAACACCATTCCTGGGACTTAGGCCATACGTTCTTTTGAAGTTGCCGCAACGTTTTGACACGAATTTGCGCGGCGCTGAAGCGAGAGCAATATTTTGAAAAGAAACCGCCCTCCGGCAGAGAACCTGCTGCGAACTCTTGAGTCAAATGTGCGCGGCGCTACGGCGAGAGCCACATGTTCGAACCCGCCCGCCGTCCTTGCGTGAAACTGTTGCAAGGTTTTAAGACGCGTGTGGGCGACGCCCAGGCGAGAGCCACATTTTGTGAACGACCTGCCCACCATCTCTGAAAATGTTGCAGACTTCCAGCCTCAGGATCATACATGGTGAGAAAGTCTCAGGCGAAACGCCTGGCCCCCACTACTGACACTTCTGGGGGTGCGACAGGGAGAAATTATTTTCAAGGAGGGTCGGATGTAGGAGGAGGAAGAGGAGGAGGAGGAGGAGGAGGAGGAGGAGGAGGAGGAGGAGGAGGAGAAGGAGGAGGAGGAGGAGGAGGAGAGGAGGAGGAGGAGGAGGAGGAGGCGGGGGAGGATGAGGAGGAGGAGGAGGGGAGGAGGAGGGGAGGAGGAGGAGGAGGAGGAGGAGGAGGAGGAGGAGGAAGGTGTTCGCAGGTTCTCGGTATCCTTTCTTGCTGTTTCTCACAATTTGTGGATTTTTTCGGAGCGGGAGGAAGAGCATGACCCTTCCTTCTCCCCTCCCTCACTTCCTTCCTTCCTTCTCATCCTTCCTGTGCTGCGTGCGTTTTTCCTCCTCCCCCAGTGCTCTTCCTCACCACTCTCCTCGCCTCTCCACTTCCCCTTGTCCTCTCCCCTCCCCTTCCCTCTCCTCCCCTCTCTCTTCTTCAGATCTCCTCTTCGTTGATTTCTTTCCCTCTTTTTCCTTCTCTCTATATATGTCTATCGATACGTATCTTTCGACGATATGTCTATTATTCTCTCCCGTCCAATCCTATATCGTCTGCTCCTCCTCTTCGTCGTCGTCTTCCACTCATGTTCGGCAGCCCCCCCCGCGCCCAGGTCTGGCCCAGACGCGCGTGCCCCCTCTTAGATCTGACGTCGCAGCAAAAATGCAACATCGTGAATCATCACGACCAGGGCAATCCCATCTCTCTGCGCCCTTTCTCGGGCCGGATCGATCTCTGAGGGTCCCGGGGCCCAGAGTCGGGCGAAGACGCCGGTTGTGGACAATTTGCAGCGCCAGGATCTCAGGACCCACCCCCCGCGCCCAGGTCTGGCCCAAGCGCGCGTGCCCAGCCCAGCTGGACGCCCGAGGGCGCCGATCTGCAAGGGACTTGGCTGCCCCGACACGCCCGGGTTGAGACGCAACGCGTACCGTGCTCGAAGCGTTGGTGTTGACACGATGCGCGGTGGCTCCACGTGCTGGCCCACGCTTGGGCGAACGCATCGCGCCAGACCTACGCTTTCAGTCTACGCGTTGAGCTCCGTGCCCCGAAGGAGAAAACAGCAGAAACATACACTTTCGGGCGGCCCGCGCGGATTTCTTGCATCCGCGCTGGGGGCCCCCTGGCGGCGCCTCCGGCGCCGCCCCTGGCGCGCGGAGCGAGCCAGGGAGGGGGAATCCAGCGCAGATCCAAGAAATTTGCGCCGACAATCGACAAGTTCGTGTTTATTACGTTTTTTTTTTTTTTTTTTTTTTTTTTTTTTTTGTTTTTTCTCCTCCAGCGTCAACACGCTATGGGCTGCGCGTTGCGTATCGGGGCGGCTAAGGCGAGGCACTGCCCCCGAGGGTGCTGCGCCTTCCTCGCGCCGCAATGGCGAGGCGCAGCCGCGCGGCCGCCGGCGTCCTGGCGGCGTGCGCCCTCGCGGCGGGCCTGGCGCTGCTCGCCCGCTCGTGCGCGACCCCGTTCGTCAGCGGGCGGCCGGAGGCCTGCCCTGCGCGCACACCGTGAGTCGGAGGAGGAGGAGGAGGAGGAGGAGGAGGAGGAGGAGGAGGAGGAGGAGGAGGAGGAGGAGGAGGAGGGAGGGGGAGGGAGGAGGAGGAGGGAGGGGGAGGGAGGAGGAGGAGGAGGGGGAGGAGGAGGAGGAGGAGGAGGAGGAGGAGGAGGAGGAACCCATGCCGCTGCCCCCTCGCTCCGTCATCCCCTCTGTCGGCCTCCCGGGGGGCCCTCGTCGCCGCCGCCGGCTTCGCCTCGGCGTCCTGGTCAGAACGCACCCAGGCAGCGGTCGGGGGAGCGGCGCGCGGTATCGGTACCTCTTGGTCTCCCAAGTGCGCGGCGGAGAAGCGAGCGGGGTCGGCTGCGCCGACCTTCGCGCGTGAGCTGCTCGCGTATACGATCGCGCGTGGGCGCCCGCAGCTTCAGTGTAGCGTGCCACGCCGCCGGCCCGCGTGAAGCCCCGGCGTAAGGAGGTCGCTGTACCATCAAGTCGGGCGCGTCCCCTTACAGGAGGAAAATGCAAAGAGAATCAACAAATAATCAGACAACGACTCTTCGTCCAACATCCGCCTGTAGGGGAGCGTGCCCGACCTGACTGTGCCATCTTGCGTGAGCCCCGGTTCTTGTCGTCGCTGTCCCTCAGATCCGGGCGTTGCAGTCTGCTCCCGCTGGGCGCTCTCGCCCGCCTTTCGGGCCCCGGCACCCTCGCAGATCGATCCGGCTCGGGGAAGGGCGCACAAGGATGGGGTCTGGGGCTCTGGTCGTGATTTTCGCATTGTATATGTATATGTTTGTATCTATATAAATAAGCATAAAACATTTTATTTTATTCCCACCAACGTCAGATCTGAGGGTCTGGCGGCGCGCTCACGTCAGGGGCAGGGCTTTTCTAGGGTCTCGCGATCAACCGGGTGATCGGGCCCGCGCACCTTTCCACTCCCCCCACCCCTGGATAACCTGACCTTGTCGGTTTCGCAGGTCCGCAGGGGGTACGCAGTACTCGGGCGCGCGGGCGTACGTGGGGCTGCCCCCGAGACCCTGGCGTCGCAGTTTTTCCCTTCGCGCTTGTGCGCCCGCTCTGGGGCCCTGTAACCCTCACATGTCGATCCTCTTCGAAAATGGCGCAGAAAGATGGGGTCCGAGGCTCCAGTCGTGCTTTTGTTTATGTTCGCGATGTCTGTGTTGGGGAGTCGTCAGATCTGAGGGTCTGGCGGTGCGCACATGTCAAGGGCGATCCTGGCGTCGCAGTTTTTCCCTCGAGAAGCGTTCCGCTGGAGGCTTCTAGTAGTGGCAGAAAGAGACCACAGACGAGTCCCACGGGGGGGGGGGGGAACGGGGGAACGGGACGAGTCTCACGGGGGGGCCCGGTCCAGCGGCCGTTTTGCTTGAGACCTGCTCGCGATTTACTTTGGAATCGTGCTCTCGCCTCCATGCCGGCTGCAGTGTTGGTCTGGACGGCCACGACGCTGCGGTGCATCACGGCCGCGCTCTCTCATCCTGGTCCTGGCCGCTTTCACGAGCCGACCGTCTCCTCCTCGCTCCGCCTCTTCATCTCTGCTGCTATACTGTCGGGGCCCTGAAGAAGGAGCCCTTTTGGTTGGGGAGGGGCTCCGCGTTCCTGAAGTGTTTCGCAGCTTGTCTCAGGTTTTCCGTATGTTTTCGATCGGAGATCGAAATTCAACTTATGAAAAAAGGGGCCTCGCTCCTTATTTAGGGTCCCCCAGGTCAACGCCCCGACGGTATTGAGGTGCTCTGCTGGGGTCCTTTCGGGTCCCGCGTTCGCGCCTCCTTTCGAGCCCCCGGGCCCCTCACAGAGATCGAGCCGGCTGGACGGAGGCAGCAGATCGGTGGGGCCCAGGGCTCCGGCCGCGATGTCTCTCCTGCTGCTGCAAGGTTTTCGCGCCGTCGGATCTCGGGGTGCAGTCGGGGCCCTGACGAAGGAACCCTTTTCGTTGGGGAGGGGCTCCGTGTTCCTTAATTGTTTCGCAGCTTGCCTCGGATTGTCCTTAGGTTTCCGATACGGAATCGAAGTTCAATTTGTGGAAGGTAGGGGCCTCGTTCCTTACTCAGGGTTCCTTAGGTCAACGCCTCGACTGTAGGTTCAGGGGGGGACGTTGGATTTCTAGGCCTCCTAGATGGGGTCGGAGCAGATGGGGTCGGAGGATCGCGCCTCATCGCCGATGCAGCGACGATGCGGCCAGATGCGGGGCCCGTCTTTCTCCACAGGGCTCATTTCGATTCCCCCGATTCGGTTCGATTCGACTTCGGTGGATTCCGATTCCGATTCGATTCGACTTGGGATTCCGATTTGAGTTCCGATTGTTGATTGGAGGCGTACTAGCCTGCCGATTTCCGCCGATCCGACTTTTCCCGGCTCGGCTGCCGATTTCCGCCGATCCGATTCATGCTGATCGCCGATTCGACTTATCGACTCGATTCTGGGCTCTCCTGGAGATCGGCTCAGGGGGTGACGCATCGACCCCTACAGCCGACCCGCACAGTAAGGATGGGCAACCTTCCCACGGGCACCCTTGCATCCTTGCCCCCTTGGCCCATCCTGGGCCACGTTCGTTGGCCGCGCCCCGCTCGAGAAGCTCCGAAGCGGGCGCCTAAGGCCCCTGCATCCTCACCGCGCATCCTGATGATACCAGGCCGACTGCAGTCGCAAAGAGATCGCCGATGGCCCCGCTCCGCCCGGGGACCGTGCGGAGTCATTACGTCAGGGGCACATCGCCGAGCCCTCGGCGACGTGCACCGCCGATCTCAGGTCGACGCGTCTCCCCCGGGAGCCGGTCCCCCCCCTCGAATGTTCCCCCCCCCCACAGGGGGCAAGGGACTTCTCTTGCGGCCCAGAGCTCCGACGATGCGTTTTCTTGTTCGTTGTTCTTGTTTCTGCTTGCTTCCGATGTGGGAGGTTTTTCTTCTTGGATGTCGGCTCCTGGGGCTCGCTCTCGGGCCCGGGGCCAGGCAAAAGTGGGTCTGGGGAGACGAACTGGCCCCGGGGAAGTTTCGGCAGCAAATCATGGGAGCCTGGCGTACCCTCTTGGTTCTCCGTCTTTCGCGTCGATTGGCGTCGGTTAGCGTCGATTCGCGTCGGAGAGTCGATGAGCTAGCGCCGATCTAGCGTGGGTTAGCGTCGATTAGCGTCGATCTAGCGTCGACTAGCGCCGATCTGGCGTCGAGGAGCGTCGACGAGCGTCGATGCAGCGTCGATTCGCAGGAGCCGACAAGATGGTATGGGAGGCTCCCATGAGTTGCCACCGAAGGAGGAGGAGGAGGAGGAGGAGGAGGAGGAGGAGGAGGAGGAGGAGGAGGAGGAGGAGGAGGACCCAGACCCCCTCGTGTCGTGAGCGAGAGCACGGCAGGAGGGCTCCCATGAGTTGCCACCGAAGGGAGGGGGTCGGGACCTCTGGGGGCCGCACATGGGACACGCGCACGCCGTCGGATGTCGGGGGCTGGGCGGCGCTCGAAGCCGGAGGGGCTTCTCGGAAGCCAGGAGGGGCCGGGCCTCCAGGAGGATCTCTTGGAAGCTTCCGGGCCCTTCCCTTGAGTCGGGCATGCCCCTCTACAGGAGGAGTCTTCAAAGTAGTCGACAACTAGTATGGGGGCGATTTTCTGGACCATCTTGATTTTTTGTTGCTTTCATTGTTTGACGAGTGCTCATCTTTCTTGCGGAATCCGCGTGAAGGAGGCCATGCCCTACCCGACCCTTCCGAGAAGGCAGCCTTCCTGCCGAGAGGCTCCCCCGCCCCCCTGGGAACAGGGCCGCCGCCCCTGGTGCCTCTCCTCGGCGCGCCGCCACGAGGTCCGGAGGCTGGCGGTCGCGATGCACTTCTTCAACAGCGAGCCGCCGCCGCCCCCGAAGCCGAAGGTCGAGGACACCGCCTTCGGCGGCGCCGTCGTCTTCGAGGGCGTCGTCGACGCCGTCGTCGACGCGTTGTCGTCGTCGTCGTCGTCGTCGTCGTCGTCGTCGTCGGTGGTGGCGGAGCAGGAGCAGGAGCAGGGAGAAGGAGCAGGGAGGAGGAGCAGGGAGGAGGAGCAGGGATGAGGAGGAGGAGGAGGAGGAGGAGGAGGAGGAGGAGGAGGAGGAGGAGGAGGCGGAGGAGGAGGAGGAGGAGGAGGAGGAGGAGGAGGAGGAGGAGGAGGAGGGGGGTCGAGGGATCGCGCCGCATCGCCGATGCATCGGCGATGCATCAGCGATGCGGCTCGATGTGGGGCGCAATTTTCTCGACGCCGACGTCGCCGATGCATCGCCGACGTCGCAAGTGCATTGCCGATGCATCGCCGATGTATCGGCGATGCATCGCCGATGTATCGGCGATGCGGCGCGATCCTCCGACCCCATCTACTCTAACCCCATCTAGGCGGCCTCTAAAGTAACCATCGGTCGTTAGAAGTAGGTATATTGGGATTCCCAGATGCCAGCCTACTTTACAAGCGCCTTCCTACTTCAAGGATCGAGTGGCTTTACTTGTCCCGTCCTCCTTCGCGGGAGGACGGAACCCGATCTACTTCCAACGCCTTCCTGCTTCATGTTTCTACCTACTTCAACGACCGATGGGTACCCATTTCGCTACCCTTTGGCCGTTTTCCCCCCTTCTGGGCCTCCTGGGAGGCCCTTGTCGCCACCGCTGGGTTCGCCCCAAGATTCTGGTCAGAGCGCACCCCATGAGAGGCCCGGCGGGTAGCGGTATCGGTTTCTCTTGGTTTCCCCAATCGGCGCCACCCAATCGTAGCAATATTATGTGTGCGTCGCCCCCATAGGGGCGACGCGCGCGCCGCGAAATCTTATATATATATATATATATACGTATCAGTACATGATATATATATATATATATATATGTATATTCCTCTTCCTATTTTTTATAAGCCCGGGCGGGGGGAAAACCCATCCCCCCCCCCCAAAACCGGACTCCCGGGATCTGGGGCTTTGGGACCCTCCAGACGGGCCTCGAAGCGGCCCCCGGGCCTCACATGGCGTTTTGCCAAGCCTTCCCAGCACACCTAGGGCGATCAGGGGGTCCATCGGAGACGTCCCAGAGACCCCCAAGACATCACAAGAGCGCTCCAAGAGTGACCGACGTGACCTCAAGATGGCCCAAGAGGCCTCCAGGACGGCCCCAAAGAGGCCTCCAAGAGCACTCCCAAGAAGGCCCCCCGAGGCAAAAATCATGAATTTTCTATGGTTTTCCCCCACATGTTTTGTGGGGTTCTGGTTTTCTTCCCTGCCGCGGCGCACCCGCGTCTCACCTCACCTCACACCTCCTCCCCTCACTCACACACACACACACACATACTTCACTCTCCCCCCCCTCGTCACAGCACTGCTCAGCTCAGCTCAACTCACCTCAGCACAGCACAGCTCAGCTCAGCTCAGCACAGCACAGCTCGGCTCAGCTTAGCACAGCTCAGCACAGCCCAGCACGGCTCAGCTCAGCACAGCACAGCACAGCTCGTGGCACTTTCTCGACACCACAGGGGGTGCGCAGGGGTTGGTCTCTCAGCTCGGCCGCTATCCACGACACTGGCGCAAAGCCTAGCAGGCGTGGCACTCTCTCGACACCAAAGGGGGTGGGCAGGGGGTGGTCTCTCAGCTCGGCCGCTATCCACGACACTGGCGCAAAGCCTAGCAGGCGTGGCACTTTCTCGACACCACAGGGGGTGCGCAGGGGGTGGTCTCTCACCGCGGTCCCTATCCACGACACTGGCGCAAAGCCTAGCAGGCGTGGCACTCTCTCGACACCAAAGGGGGTGGGCAGGGGGTGGTCTCTCAGCTCGGCCGCTATCCACGACACTGGCGCAAAGCCTAGCAGGCGTGGCACTTTCTCGACACCACAGGGGGTGCGCAGGGGGTGGTCTCTCACCGCGGTCCCTATCCACGACACTGGCGCAAAGGCTAGCAGGCGTGGCACTTTCTCGACACCACAGGGGGTGCGCAGGGGGTGGTCTCTCAGCTCGGCCGCTATCCACGACACTGGCGCAAAGCCTAGCAGGCGTGGCACTTTCTCGACACCACAGGGGGTGCGCAGGGGGTGGTCTCTCAGCTCGGCCGCTATCCACGACACTGGCGCAAAGCTAGCAGGCGTGGCACTTTCTCGACACCACAGGGGGTGCGCAGGGGGTGGTCTCTCAGCTCGGCCGCTATCCACGACACTGGCGCAAAGCCTAGCAGGCGTGGCACTTTCTCGACACCACAGGGGGTGCGCAGGGGGTGGTCTCTCAGCTCGGCCGCTATCCACGACACTGGCGCAAAGCCTAGCAGGCGTGGCACTTTCTCGACACCACAGGGGGTGCGCAGGGGGTGGTCTCTCAGCTCGGCCGCTATCCACGACACTGGCGCAAAGCCTAGCAGGCGTGGCACTTTCTCGACACCAAAGGGGGTGCGCAGGGGGTGGTCTCTCAGCTCGGCCGCTATCCACGACACTGGCGCAAAGCCTAGCAGGCGTGGCACTTTCTCGACACCACAGGGGGTGCGCAGGGGGTGGTCTCTCAGCTCGGCCGCTATCCACGACACTGGCGCAAAGGCTAGCAGGCGTGGCACTTTCTCGACACCACAGGGGGTGCGCAGGGGGTGGTCTCTCAGCTCGGCCGCTATCCACGACACTGGCGTAGCAGGCGTGGCACTTTCTCGACACCACAGGGGGTGCGCAGGGGGTGGTCTCTCAGCTCGGCCGCTATCCACGACACTGGCGCAAAGCCTAGCAGGCGTAGCAGGCGTGGCATTTTCTCGACACCAGAGGGGGTGCGCAGGGGGTGGTCCCCCTCTGCGTGCCAGGGTCGTCCAGGCATAGCAGGCGTGGGATTTTCTCGACACCAGAGGGGGTGCGCAGGGGGTGGTCTCCCTATGCGTGCCAGGGTCGTCCAGGCATAGCAGGCGTGGCATTTTCTCGACACCAGAGGGGGTGCGCAGGGGGTGGTCTCCCTATGCGTGCCAGGGTCGTCCAGGCATAGCAGGCGTGGCATTTTCTCGACACCAGAGGGGGTGCGCAGGGGGTGGTCCCCCTATGCGTGCCAGGGTCGTCCAGGCATAGCAGGCGTGGCATTTTCTCGACACCAGAGGGGGTGCGCAGGGGGTGGTCTCCCTATGCGTGCCAGGGTCGTCCAGGCATAGCAGGCGTGGCATTTTCTCGACACCAGAGGGGGTGCGCAGGGGGTGGTCTCCCTATGCGTGCCAGGGTCGTCCAGGCATAGCAGGCGTGGCATTTTCTCGACACCAGAGGGGGTGCGCAGGGGGTGGTCTCCCTATGCGTGCCAGGGTCGTCCAGGCATAGCCTCTAGTGCGGGATTGCGTATTACCTCTCGTATCCAAGTGCCAGGCGACGCCGGATATGACCGTCACAGATGACTCCTCAACCCCTCCTCTCCCCCCACTCGTCCTCCCCCTCCTTTCAACGACCACAGGGGGCACCTGAGAGCATGACGGCGGTGGTAGTGGTAGCGCGGTTCACACAAGACATAAAATCAGTATGTGGGGTTCCTCGGTAGCGTAATTTGGTGAATTTTAGGGTTCTCCTCTTTTCGGCTTCCCGACGCTCCAAGACGGCGGTCTTCTGGGCGTCCGAAGCCGCCTGGGAGGCTCCACAATCGCCCCACAACCATCCGAAAGGCTTTCCAGGCAGTCCAAGAGAGCCCCAAAACGGCACAACACGGGTCCAAGATGGCCCTCAGAGAGCCCCATGGCGGCCCAAGATCGCCCAAAGACACCCTCCGAAAAATTCCAAATCGTGATTCGGTCGTTCAGGGAGACCGCGGTTGGAGGCAGGGTGGCCCGAGGAAGCCCCCGGAGGCCCCCAGAATACGCCCAGGAGGTCTCCAGAAGGCCTTAAGAAAGCCTGAAACAACTTTTGTGAGGCCCCTAGAGGCTCTCCAAGGAGGAGCCTCCGCAAAAAAGAGCTGAGGAGGATGGGCAGAATGCGCAGGGCATGGCGAAAATGAGGAAACAGCAAAAAGAAACATGGAGGAAGGATAACGAATAACATTAGTATAGCGGCGATGCCAGAAAAGGCAACCAGGAGTTATCGCTAAGTTGTCGGCTTCACCTTCCTGCCATTCCGCCTGCATACCAAACTTCAAGGACCAAGGTGCATGGCGCGAAGCGCCACTGCAGTCTTGTATATATATATATATATTCATATATTCCTCTTCCTATATTTTTATAAGCCCGGGCGGGGGGGAAACCCGTCCCCCCCCCCAAAACCGGATTCCCGGGATCTGGGGCTTTGGGGCCCTCCGGACGGTCCTCGAAGCGGCCCCCGGGCCTCGCAGGGCGTTTTGCCAAGCCTTCCCAGCACACTTAGGGCGATCAGGGGGTCCATCGGAGACGTCCCAGAGACCCCCAAGACAACACAACAGCGCTCCAAGAGTGACCGACGTGAACTCAAGATGGCCCAAGAGGCCTCCAGGACGGCACCAAAGAGGTCTCCAAAAGCATTCCCCCCGAGGCAAAAATCATTGATTTTCTATGGTTTTTTTTTTTTTTTTTTTTTTTTTTTTTGTGAATTTTAGGGTTCTCCTCTTTTCGGCTTCCCGACGCTCCAAGACGGCGGTCTTCTGGGCGTCCGAAGCCGCCTGGGAGGCTCCCAAATCGCCCCGCAACCATCCGAAAGGGCTTCCAGGCAGTCCAAGAGAGCCCCAAAACGGCACAACACGGGTCCAAGATGGCCCCCAGAGAGCCCCATGGCGGCCCAAGATCGCATCGTTTTAGTATGTCCTTTTGCGTCCCACAGCATGGCGGCGGCTCCGTCCAGCGGAAGGCCGGCAGAAGTGCGGTCGGGGACCTGGTCGGGGACCTGATGCTTAATTAGCGTGTCGCTCCGCCTGCTCTAGCCCACCACGCCTCGTCGCCACACGCGAGCCATTGCCACATTTCCCGGCGCCAGCGTCCCGAGCCTTCCCCTGCCTCTCGTCCCGCGGAGCGGAGCGACACGCTATCCGCTTGCAAGGCTCATCGCGTGTCAGCTCCCTACGGAGCCGCAAAAAGTGTGAGGAGTGTGCCGAAATAGGTGCGGTGGGCGCATGCGAACGCAACCAGTGGTGCCGTCGGTGGAACTCCCTATGGGGCCGCGAAAAGCGTGTGCGGTGTGTGCCGAAATTGTTGCGGTGGGCGCGTGCGGACGCAGCCACTGGGGCCGTCGGTGGAATTCCCTATGGGGCCACGACGCGTGTAAGGGGTGTGCCCCAAATGTGTGCGGTGGGCGCATGCGAGCGCAGCCATTGGGGCCGTCGGTGGGGCTCCCCATGGGGGCACGAAACGTGTGAGGGGTGCGCCGACACGGGCGCGATGGGCGCATGCGACCGCAACTATTGGGGCTGTCAGTGGAATTGCATATGGGGCCGCGAAAAGCGTGTGAGGGTCGTGCCAAAATGGGTGCTGTGGGCGCATGCGAACGCAGCCACTGGGGGCGTCGGCTGAGCTCGCTGTAGGGCCACGAAGCGTGCGAGGGGTGTGCCAATCTGTGTGCGGTTGGCGCATGCGAACGCAGCCAGTGGGGCCGTCGGTGGAGCTCCCTATGGGGCCACGAAGGGTGTGCGGGGTGTGCCAAATTGGGTGCGGTGGGCGCATGCGAACTCAGCCACTGAGGCCGTCGGTGGAGCTGCCTATGGTGCCACGAAGGGTGTGCGGGGTGTGCCAGAATGGGTGCGGTGGGCGCATGCGAACGCAACCAGTGGCGCCTGCTGTTGCCTTCCCTATGGGGCCACGAGGGGTGTGCGGGGTGTGCCACATTGGGTGCGGTGGGCGCATGCGAACTCAGCCACTGAGGCCGTCGGTGGAGCTGCCGATGGGGCCACGAAGGGTGTGCGGGGCGTGCCGAAAATAGACTGGGTGGGCGCATGGTAACGCAGCCATTGGGGCCGTCGGTGGAGCTCCCCAGGGGGCCACGAAGCGTGTGAGGCATGTGCCAAAATATGCGCGGTGGGCGCATGCGAACGGCCACTGGGTCCGTCGGTGGAGCTCCTTATGGGGCCACGAAGCGTGTGAGGGTGTGCCGACATGGGTGCGGTGAGCGCATGTGAACGCAGCCATTGGGGCCGTCGCCTATGGGGCCGCGAAAAGCGTGTGCGGGGTGTGCCGAAATGTGTGCGGTGGGCGCATGCGAGCGCAGTCAGTGCAGCCTTCGGTGGAGCTGCCTACTGGGCCACGAAGAGTGTAAGGGGTGTGCCGAAATTGTTGCAGTGGGCGCATGCGGACGCAGCCGCTGGGGCCTTCGGTGGAGCTGCCCCTGTTATGAGCGCAGCCATTGGGGCCGTCGGTGGGGCTCCTTATGGGGGCACGAAACGTTTGAGGGGTTTGCCGAAATGGGTGCTTTGGGCGCATGCGAGCGCTGACATCTGGGCCTTTGGTGGAGCTCCCTATGGGGCCACGAAGGGTGCGAGGGGTATTGCCAAAGTGAGGTTGGAGGGGAGGAGGGGGGAGGAGGAGGGGGAGGAGGAAGGAGGTGGAGTGAGACGCGGGGCGCTGTTTCCTCAAAACGAGGACCCAACACCACAGGATGGCTGGGAAAAACCAATGACACCACCCCGCCTACGGCCCTCCATGTTGCGCTGCGGCCCCTCGGGGGCCGCTGCGCATACCATGCAGGAGCCCAGGCCAGATGTCCTGGTACGTTCCAAGCCCCCCCTGGCTCCGCAGGTGTGCGTGGTGTCGCTTGTTTCCTGGTCCGTTCCTGCACCCCGCGCCCTCCGGCCGTCTGAGGCCCGGCCCGCCTGCGCTCTGTCTCCCCAATTCGTGCTTTGCGCGGCCCGCCGAGCTCTTGGCCGGAAGAGGCTCGCTCTCGACCCGCAGACCCAAAAAACATGCTTTCTGGCCCGAGGGAGGGCTGCGTGAGCACAGACGCTCGACGGCCCGCGCGGGCTCCTGGGAGCGGCGCTGGGCCAGATCTCCTGGTACGTTCTACGCCCCCTTCTGGCGCCGCAGGTGTGGGTGGTATCGCTTGTTTCCTGGTCCGAGGGAGGACCGCGTGAGCCTAAACGCTCGACGGCCCGCGCGGGCTCTCTGGAGCGGCGCTGGGCCTCCCCGCCTCCCCGGCGCGGGGGAGCGGGAGCGGCTCCCCCGGGGCGGCGCCCGAGCCGCCACGGGGTGCCCGGCGCCGGCCCAAGAGCGGATCTGTGTTGTTTTGTGCTCCTCGTCGCTGGTCTTCGGGTGCTTCGGCCAAGGCATCGGCGGCGAGCGAGGGGGGGAAACGAGAGGGAGGAGGCCTTCTCAGAAGGCGGCGGGGCTGCTCCTGATTGAGCCCTCGCGCCTTCTGCGAAGCTTTCCGTGTCTTCGGGGAAGGCCTAGAACATGTCTCAGAAGGCCAGGGGTTCCCGAGCCTTCTGAGGAGGCCCGCCCCTTGTCCTTTCCCCCCCAGGGCTTGCCGCCGAAAGACGCTGACATAAGTGATCGCTTTGGGTTCGGAAGGGGCTCGCTGTTCCTCAGGTCCTTCCCACGGCTGCTCCTCTAGGCCTCCTCGTGCACGCAGGCGCTGTTGGGGCCAGAAAGGGACCTCGCTCCTTCTTTACCCTTCCACAATTTCAGCAGCCTCCCTGTAGCTGTGGTCTCCGGCGGCCGTTCTGGACGACCTGGACCCCCCCCCAGAACGCTCTCGGCGAGGCGCAGCTGCTGGAAGGTATACCCCCAGGCTGGAAAAGGCCGCCGCGAAGCGCCGAAGACGACCGCAAGACCTCCAGCCTCGAGGCCTCGAGCCTGGAGCCCAGGCCGCGAGGGCGTGGGCGTGGCAGTGCCCCCCTGTGCTGAAGTCGGGCCTGTCCCTCTGCAGGGGGGAATGTTCAAACATAGTTGAACACAGTCTGTGTTTGACTCTATGTAGGAATATTTTTTGGGGGTATTCTTTTTCTTTTCCCTCCACAATCCGCCTGTAGCGGGACACGCCCGACCCAACCCTGTGCGCGGCGAGGAGAACTCGGCCGCGAAGGCCGTCGAGCAGGTCGTTGTGAACACGGCCGCCATCGGCCTCGTCCTGCTGCCTGCCGGCGCCCCGCCCCCAGGAAGGGGATCCTTCGGGCCCGACCTCCCTGGACACGATCGGGCCGCCCGATCCGTCGATGCCGCTGCTGCTCCTACCCTGAGGAGGAGGAGGAGGAGGAGGAGGAGGAGGAGGAGGAGGAGGAGGAGGAGGAGGAGGAGTAGGAGGAGGAGGAGGAGGGGGAGGAGGAGGAGGAGGAGGAGGAGGAGGAGGAGGAGGAGGAGGAGGAGGAGGAGGGGGGAGGAGGCGGAGGGGAGGAGGGGAGGAGGAGGAGGAGGAGGAGGAGGAGGAGGAGGAGGAGGGAGGAGGAGGAGGAGGAGGAGGAGGAGGAGGAGGAGGAGGAGAAAGAGGAGGAGGAGGAGGAGCCTGTTCGCTTCGAGGTTCGAGGCTTCCGGGCGCCTTCGCCGCCCTTCGGCGGCTTTCGAGCCTCGGGACAGGCTGTCCAGCAGCTGCGCATCGCCGAGAGCGCTCCGGGGGGTGCCCGGGTCGTCCCGAAGGGGCAGCCGGAGAGCAGGGAGGGAGGGAGGGTCGGGAGCCTTGGGACGGGGGTCAATGCAAACGGGGGTCAGCCAGCGCGCCGGGTCTTGCAGGATCCTGCAGGGACAGGGTCGCATTGACCCGGGTTTGGGTGCAGGATCCTGCAGGATCTTGCGGGATCCTTCGCATTGACCCGGGTTTGGGTGCAGGATTTTGCAGTATTTTGCAAGTCCTGACTGACCCGGGTCTGGATTGACCCGGGTCAGAAGATGAGGGAGGAGGGAGGGAGGGAGGGAGGAGGAGGCCCGAGGCGGCAGATGAGGCGGGTCCTATAGGAAGGAAGGGATATGCGTATGGGGGGGCACCCCCGAGCGTGAGGTTCCCTGGAAGCGGCACGGCAGTTTTTTGGGTATCGCTTTCGAGCGCCTGAAGGGCCCCCCGCATCTACAGACCCGGGCGCCTCAGGGACAGAGCGCGTGGCCGTCTTGCCATGGACAGATTTCCATGCTTCTCCGTCTTCGTCGCCTCCTCTCCTCCTTCTTCTGTCCATTCAGTGCGCACGCGCACACATAACACATTCTTTCTTGATGATGAAACAGGTGATAAACGGTTCACATAAGCAGTTAAACATACACTGTTCACCGCAACGGCCCAGGCAGTCTTATGATCCGAAGGGTGTTCGGACGCAGTTCGAAAATGGTTCGGACCTGTTACACATATTGTAATCTGGATCTAGCCGCCACCAGGGGAAACTTGCACTGTGGAACAACTGCGCCGGAAACTTATAACATGAAAGCGCCGGAAACTGACAAACAGCTGAAGCACGACAGCGGTACATATGCGGCGTTCCAAAAAAGGCCTCAACAAAAAGGCCTTGCCTTCGAGGATCGAAGGAGTTGTCATCTCTTCCTCGGCGGAAGGCGGCGCAAGGGCGGCGGAAGGTCGGCGTAAGTAAAGCGAGGCCGCCTCCGCTGGCGGACGCCGGCGGAAGTCTGGCGGAAGGCGGCGGGAGCAACGAAGCGCCTCCAAGAGGTGACACCATCTTCGGGCTCAGGGCTTCCGGGATCGGCCATCCGGAAAGCTGCCCTGCAGCTTCCGGGGCCTGCTGAGCCCCCCGAGGCCTTCCTGTGGTACTGGAACTCGCCCGTCGGCCCAGGCGGAGGTGGCGGCGACCCCAGCGCCACGGGCATGCGCGGCGTGTGAGCGGCCCCTTCGCGGGGCGCGCACGATGGGAGCGCAGGGAGGAAGAAAGAAGAGGAAGCGGAGGAGGGAGGAGGAAGGGGGGAGGAGGGAGGAGGGAGGAGGAGGGAGGAGGGAGGAGGAGGGAGGAGGGAGGAGGGAGGGAGGGAGGAGGGAGGAGGGAGGAGGGAGGAGGAGGGAGGAGGGAGGAGGGAGGAGGAGGAGGGAGGAGGGAGGAGGGGAGGGAGGAGGAGGAGGAGGGAGGAGGGAGGAGGGAGGAGAGGAGGGAGGAGGGAGGAGGAGGGAGGAGGGAGGAGGGAGGAGGGAGGAGGAGGGGAGGAGGGAGGAGGAGGAGGAGGAGGAGGAGGAGGAGGAGGAGGAGGAGGAGGAGGAGGAGGAGGAGGGGAGGAGGAGGTGGAGGAGGAGAGGAGGAGGAGGAGGAGGAGGAGGAGGGGAGGAGGAGGAGGAGGAGGAGAGGAGGAGGAGGAGGAGGAGGAGGAGGAGGAGAGGAGGAGGAGGAGGAGGAGGAGGAGGAGGAGGAGGAGGAGGAGGAGGAGGAGGAGGAGGAGGAGGAGGAGGAGGTGAGTGGAGAGGTCCTGCAGCGACGGTCCCTTGCCCGAGCGTGCCCCTGGGAAAGGTCCAGGTCCAGCGAAGTGTGGGGGGGGGGTAAGAGGTAAGGGGAAGGGGGGGCGCGGGAGGGGAAGGGGGAGGTGGAGCGGGGCGGGGAGGGGATGGGGGAGCGAGCGGGGGGGCGAATCGCAGGGGCGAGGTGCGGGGGCGAAGTGCAGGGGGGAAGGAGGGCGGGGGGGGCCCATGCTGTTTTCATGGTGGGCGGACCTGCCTTGCTGTGGGCCCCGGGGCCTCTGCGGATCGATCTGGTTGAGTGGTGCAGGTCTAGGCCTCCCAGATGTGGTCGGAGTAGGTGGGGTCGAAGGATCTTGATGCATCGCCGGGGCATCGGCTGTGCGGCTCGATGTGGGGCCCGATTTTCTCCACGCCGACGTCGCCGCTGCATCGCCGGCGTCGCGGGTGCATCGCCACCAATGCATCGGCGATGCATCGCCGATGCGGCTCGATCCTCCGACCCCATCTACTCGGGCCCCATCCAGGAGGCCTCCAACAGAAGGATGGGGTCCAGGGCTTTGGTTGATTTTTTTGTTGCGATGCAGTATGATATGCTTGCCGTGTCGTCGGGTCTCGGGGGGAGGATGGCGGTGGGGGCGGGGGGGGAGCGGGAGAGAGGATGGTGCGCTTGAGAGGGCCGAGAAGATGGGGAGGCAGGAGGGGGGTAAGGGCGGGGGGGGGAGGGCGCGTTGGGTGGGGGGGAGGGGGGATCTGATGTGGGTGCGGAAGGCCGGGGACGGGCGGCCTCCCCCTTCCTGCTGCTGCTGCTGCTGCTGCTCTCGCTCCTCCTCCTCCTCCTCCTCCTCATCCTCCTCTCCTCCTCCTCCTCCTGCTCCTCTTTTCCCTCCTCCTTTCCCTCCTCCTCCTCCTCCTCTCCTCCTCCTGCTCCTCCTCCTCCTCCTCCTCCTCCTGCTCCTCTTTTCCCTCCTCCTTTCCCTCCTCCTCCTCCTCCTCCTCCTCCTCCTCCTCTTCCTGCTTCTCCTCCCCCTCCTCCAGCTCCTCGTGAATACTAGGTTCAGGGGACTGCCTGGCTGCTGTGGCGCATTCTCTGGAAGCCCGTGCATCCTTTGAGTGGAGGTCGATGTTCAAGTCTGGTCCTCCTCCTGTCTGGCAGCGTGCCCCATGGCCAAGTTTGAAGATTTGTAGCTGCCAGCATTTCAGGCGCCGCGCGCCCACAAGCGAGAGGCGGCCAGCTAGAGCATTTAGTTTCGACATGCCCATCGGTGACAAAAATCGTGAGGGGGAGAATGCAGCTCAGGATGACGACGCGGAGGTTGAGGATGAGGATGTAATGTCGAAGGTGTGGACGCAACGCAGTAATCTGATACCGACGACGGCGGCGGCGACGACGACGAGGCTGATGATGAACCGCAAGGGTTGATTATGGGCAGGTGGCAGAGTCCCTTGAAGTATCACTGCGCCCAGGTAGAACACAGGCGCATTCGACGCAACAGAGTTGCCACGGTGGCGGTGCAAGCAATCGCGTCGGTTCGCACATCAGCGCAGCGGGAGGAGGCGAGGGGCAGCTTGAGTGAGCAGATCCTCACGCTGCCGTCAAGGCTGTGCAGACAGTCGCCGCCGATGTCCAACTCATGTCTGCTGCAGGGCACGGAGACGGCATGGTCTCAGATATCTAACGCCTCCATACTTTGTGTTTCTACGTGCTTCTCCTGGCCGATGGGCAGTGGCCTTCGGACCATCCCGCCACCGTGCCCGGGTTGTGGGCCAGCGGCCTTTTGGATGCCTGCCGGGGCCTCTTGGGCTGCCTCTCGGGGGCCTCCTGGAGTGGAGCCCTCCCCCGAAGGGGGCTCTACAGCGTGGGGTGCCTCTCGGAGACCTGTTTCCAGGGCGCGGCCCCGCGGGGCCGCGCGTCTCGGGACCTCCGCGGAGGTCCCGACCCACCCCCCGGGGCGACTTCTTTCTTTCGGAGGTTGATAGACCTCCTACCCTGACACGTCGATTAAGGAATCGGCCGTTTTTGGTTTGCGAGAGGGCGTCGCGGCCGTCATTTTTGGGGGTCCAGGTCCGTCGGTTTCGGTCCCAGGCCGTTTTCACTGCGAGGAGGTTTACTACAGGGAGGTTTGTCCGCCGCCGAACCCCGGATCCGTGGTCGACGGCTCCGGGGCATGAAAACAGGCCCCACAGGGCGCCATGGATGAAAAACGCCGGCCTTGGGAAACACAACATCCTCGGATAGCGCTGTGGTCGGCGGCGCGCCGAGGGGGGGGGAAGCGAAGAGGGTTGAGTCGAAAGATAAAAAAGAGTCAACAACATACCCTAAACTATTCAAAAATGGTCAAACAAGAAATCGTCCCCAGACTTTTTTTGTGTCTATTTTGGAACATTCCTCCTGTGGAGGGACAGGCCCGACTTGAGAAGAGGGGGCGGGGCTTCGGAGAGGAGTCGTAGGACGCTTCTCGGTGGGCCTCTGGCCTCCTCGGCCGTCCGGGAGGGCCCGCACCCTCTCGCCGTCCCCGTCTGTGGTGAACCATGGGAGCCGTGTGTGTCCTCCTCCTCCTCCTCGTCGTCCTCCTTCTTCTCCTCCTCCTCCTCCTCCTCTTTCGGCGGCGAGCGAGGGGGGGAAACGAGAAGGAGGAGGCGTTCTCAGAAGGCGGCGGGGACTTCTCAGAAGCCCTCGCGCCTGCTGAGAGGTTTCCTGTGTCTTCGAGGAAGGCTTTGCACTCCTCAGAAGGCCAGTGGACTTCCGAGCCTTCTGAGAAGGCCCGTCCCTTCTCACTTCCCCCCCAGGTCACCGCCGATCCTTGTAAGCAATTCCGTCTTTAGAGTGCGTTAGCGTGTGCTGCGCCTCTGGTAATCGATGAGAAAGGCGCCGCTTCAGCGTCGACTCGCGCCGGATTGGCCTGGACTTCGCGTCGACCAGTGCCGATTCGCGCCCGACTCTGCCGATTCGCGAGAGCCCGCTCGACGGCAGGGAGGCTCGCAGGCTCCCGTGGGTTGCTCCCTCTGCCTTGCCCCCCCCCTGGGCGCCGCAGTTCGGCGCCTCTCGCAGCACTGCGGCGGCTCTTGCTCCAGCAGAAGGAGCCCCCCAGGCAGGGGGCCGACCCAAACGGTGTTTTGGCGACTTCGTCGGCCGTTATCGTTTCGCGTTCGTTTTGCAGCAACAGGCGGATTGAAGACAAAGCGAGGGAACTCGACAACAAGACGAGAACGACAAACACAGCCTGGGTCGATCCCTGCGCCAAGCTTCCCCCAGACCCCCGACGGCGTGATCTTGTCCACGGCGTGGACCTCCACGCATTTTGCAGCAAAGGCGGATGGAAGACAGCCAGAACGAGGGACATCGACGACAGCACGAAAACGAAAAGCACTGCTTCGGTCGATCCCTGCCCCCAGACCCCCGACGTCATGTGAGACTCTTCCCTGGCGCGGACCTCCAGAGGTCTGGGCCTTCGAGCCGGCTGGGGGGGTCTCCTGGCATCGCTCGGACGTGTGTATTTTTCCTTCGGCGAGGACCATCGAGGAGCATCCTTGATCATTTCGCGAAAAAACCACGCACGAAACCGAAAAACGCATAGAAAATGGACGTCCGAGCGATGGCCAGGTCTGGCGCGGCCCAGCACTGGCTCCGGCGAGCAGGAGGGGGCGGGCAGGCTCGAGGTTCACGAGGCGCCGGGTGCGCTCGCTGTTTCTGGCCGTTTCGGGCCTCCGGGGCCCGTCTGCGGGCCCCGGATGCCCAGGAGCGGATCCGGGGCGAAGAAGGGCACCTCGATGGGCCCGGGAGGGTTCCGGGGAGACCGATCTGGAGCGGATTGTGGCCCCGTCCAGCGCAGGGGCCCTCTTGACAGATTCTGGGCGGATGTTGCGCGGATTTTGAGCGGATATCGGCTCCCCTTGACAGATTAAGATTGGATTTTGAGCGGATTTTGAGCGGATATGGGCCCCTCTCGACAGATTTTGACAGGAGTTTGAGCGGTTTTCTTTCGCTCTCTCGATAGATTTTGAGCGGATTTCGAGTGGATTTTTTGTCCTTCTTCACAGGTTTCTGGGGGCTCGCCCAATTCAGTCAGGCCCCCGTGGCCGTCCCCACACTCTGGGCCTGCTCCGGGGGAGCCAGCGTTTTTCCTTCCGGGATTGTCTTTCCGACGGGCAACCGAGGCTCCGCGAGGGCCTTCGGAGGCTGACAGCAATGAGGACACGCGGGTCCTCATGCTGGCAACGGAGGACAAACGGTCCTCATGCTGCTCCTCCTCCTCCTCCTCCTCCTCCTCCTCCTCCTCTTACTCTTCTTCCTCCTCCTCCTCCTCCTCCTCCTTTCCGGAGGCTGACAACAATGCTGACAACGGGGGCTGACAACAATGCTGTCTCACCGCGCGAGAATATATTTTCACGCTGCGAGGTATCACGGGCTGACAGCCAGCGGCCACGCGTATGCGAGCCCC